GGGACTACCTCTGGCTCTAACATGTTTATAAAACTGGTTTTTGAGCCACATGCTGAAGTAAGTATTGCTGACAATGTTCAAAACTTCCACTGACAAGTTAATAAACTGTACTGAAACTGTAGGGTCCCAGAAAAAACTCAAAGATGAACACATGCAGAATTATCTCAGAATCCTTCCAGGGAGTCATTTCAAATATGTCCTGCCTGGTCTTAGGTCTTCTGGAGCTCTGAAGGAAAACGCTGTAAATGGAGATGACAGCGTGAGGTCTAAAGGCAGGGGTGGCTGGGCATAGTGTGGTTGCAGTCCATAACAAATTCAGCCAAGGTGGGCAAAACAAAAGAGACAACTTCATCATCCACCTTTGAAGGGATACTGTTGCCTTAAGCGGTATCTGTAAAAAAGCTGTGCCAAAAAGGTCAAGGGAGGAGAAAGCCTGGAACTGACCCGTCCCGTCAGTTATATTGCTACTGTTCCCTGGCCAGATGACACTACTCAACATTGGTGTAGAAAGTAAAGGTTCTTCATAGCTGAAAATAGTCAGATAATTCAGGGACAAAAAAGGCCAGCACAGCCTGTCCATAAACTGAAAACTCTCAGCATAATGTCCGTAAGTAGTGGTGGGTGTGAATAACTCAAAGAAGGTCCTTTTGAAGTTTTCCCAAATACTGTCCATGGCACAAGTTAAAACAAAGGCAACCATGTGCAGTCTGAGGTGGACGTAGATTGTCCAGTTCACAGAAATTTGTCAACTAGACCCTTTTATTCAGTCCTGATAACACTTCAGTTACCCTTCCACTGCTCTCATTCCTAGTGTGGACTGCTTCCTTCTACTGGAGGATTAAAACATTGTGGTAACAACCTCAGGTAATAGAAAAAGGGGGAAGACTTGAGTATGGCTTTAGGTTTCTCTGTAGTTGCCTTTAATGAAGACTTTGGAAAAGCATGCTTTCAGGCCTGGAAAGTAATTAATTTCTTGAAGTATGCTGAAATTGTTCACAAAATGTGGTTTAGTGGAGTAAGTTTTGTGATGGAATTGGCGTTTTTGTGAGTGCTCTAATATTGACCCAAATCAGAGGAATTATGTGCGGGCTTTACACCTTTTTTTGTTTGTCGGTGATAAAGAAAAGCACTTGGGGACAAAAATCATAGAAGTAATATTTTCACAAATACATTTCAGGAGGTACAAACAGAGAACTTACATGCTTAGATTTGACTGAACTTGACACCATTCTTACCTGAAAAAGATGAGCAGTGACTGGTAACCATGACCAAAGTTAACTGTGAATGTCTCTGCCAAAACTGTGATCTTGGCAGCCTGGGCTTCTGCAGTTTTCTGTGACGTCGCGGAAGAGCTGTTGGGGGGCTGTTGGCAGAGACCCTAGGGTCCCCATGTCCTTTGCCCCTTTCTGACGCCCGGGTGAACCGTGTCACACTGGCCACAGGTTTGACCCGCACAGGGCTTTCTAATTGCTCCCCTAAAATATCACTTTCACTATTTACTGTTTAATCAATTAATAACATGCCTTTTTTTTTTGTTAGAGACAGATCAAATTGGGGTAAAGATGACAACCTTCCTTAACTTTTGCAAGAGCATCAGTGTCCCAGTGCGTTGCAGTGCATGTGAAGCCGTATGTACGTGGCTAAAGGCAAACAGTGCCTGTTACACAGGGACTTGTTTTTCAGATAAATATGTGTAAGAGGAAGAAAAACTTCTAATAAAATAGGATATCTTGGATCATCTGCTCAGATGAAAACTTGTATTCCTCCTCTTAGACAAGGCTAAAAGGGACCAGTGAGGTTCAGTGCCTTTTGGCAAAGTCTGCCTGCTGCTAGCATCTCCGGTACATAGGTAACTCCTGCCGTGGGAGTCAAAATCAAAGTTATAAAGGTAAAATACTGTTTAAAAATTATGAAGCTGAAATGAGAAAATTAATTTACAAGAAAGATCAGTTATATTTATGCCAAAGATTTACAAGTAGTTTAAAATAATCTGTGTTTGACACAGTACGTTGTCTTTATCATTAAAATGCTGATGAAATGGTAAACATCTGTTAATTTAATGAGGATAATGAAGCTTGTCAGATACATCTTTCTTGTGCCAGTATTCCTGCTTAGCTCAGGTCTGCGTGCAGATTTGGTGCAATGGTGGTGGGAATCTGTTTGACCTTTGGGAGCAGTGCCAGTGTAAAACTGTGCCCTGTTCTGTTTGATTTGATGATTTTGTCCTGAAGTGCTTCTACCAGTAATTTAGGTCATGTTTATCTGATCACTCTTCCAGAGGCTTTCAAAGGTGGGTCTGAAAATCAAACTTCACTCAAACAGGATGACTGGTATTTGACTGGCAATAGTTGAAGTAATAAACTGGCAATCAGAAGTGAACAAATTTACTATTATTAATGCCTCCACAAATCAGTCTGGTAGGTGTGTATGTTTTCTGTTCTGTATGGAATCCAAATTTATCCTAGTCTACTGGTCATATATTGCGCTGGCAGTAGAAACACCATGGACTGCAAAACTACAGGCAGATTTCAAATGCTCTGTACTCAGCCAAGGCGTACAAAGAAGATTGCATTGTTTGCAGGAGGATGCTAATTGTTTTTATATTTTTAAAACATGTATGCCAAATGCTTTCTAGACCTTGGCTAACGACAGTGTCAGAAACCTAGCTTAAGTCTGATTTTAAATGTCAGTCACAATTTAACTCTTTACTGTTACGTTTTTTCTGCAAAATTTAGTTAGAATATGTAACCATAGCTTCATTGAAGTATGTATATGTAAAGAGAGGGTGGGTCTTTTTTAACTTCATGGATCTTTAATTGCTTATGAAATTCAAAGAGAAACTTGTAGAAGTTAGATTGATGATGGCACTTTATGGACTTCAGATAATTGAATACAACATAGCTGCTGTTTGAATACAACTCTGAAATCCAAATTATGTAAATCTACTGTTTCAGAACCAGCTAGCAGGAATAATCATTATTTCTGCAGTTGAAGATATTTTCTTTGGATATATTCTGTGACACACTGCTTTCCTATTGATGCATTTTTCTCATTATGGATATGAAGAAGAAACTATAGGCATGTTAGCCATTAGCATTTTGACGTTTGCGACGCCAGTTGGATAAGCTTTGACTTGCAGTTAATTAAGCACAACTGTCAATGAGTTTCATGGGCTTATGCAGAAACAAACCTTAGATTTATGGAAGTATTGGGGAAGGAGGAGGGCGAGAATATTATGGGAAAGTGTCTCAAGCATATTTTTCCTTTCAAGTTGTGCAGCTCAGTTGGGATGGTGTTCAACAGTTTTGTCTCCATAGTTGTCATTGACCCATCTTTCTGCAATCATCACGCTTTTCCTATAGAAGAAACAGAGAATAGATGATAGCCTGCTATTCATCTGCTAGATCATAATATAATGTTTTCTGTGCTGCAGCTGTGGTCGAAATTACTGTCTCTCCAGCATCTATAAAATTTGAGCTCAGGGCTAGTTGTAAGTGTTTGGTCATCCAAATAAATCCATGCAGCCCCATCTGGCTTCTGAACTCAGCTTTCCTCTTGGATACCATGAGATGGGTTTGCAGTTGTGTCTGTGGAGGCAGGATGATGAGATGAAAAGGAGGGAAATTTCTACTCTCCCTTCAATTTTGCATTTCCTTAACAGGGACAAAGGGACATCCCTTAATGGAAGACTGGTACTTGGGCAGCCCAGATGGATTGCTGGCATCTTGCAAGTAGATGCAAATGATTTGATTTTATGGGAGAAGAGAGGGGAAAAATTGCTTGTTTACTGTGTCTCCCCCCCCCGCCTCCTCGCGACTGGGTTTAAAAAGCTCAGATGACTTCTATTAGAAAAAGCTTAGGTATTGTGTCAGCTCTGCTTGAGACCAGAGAAACTCCGAAGAGGACTGTTATGCTCCTGGCTGATGTGCTGGCCACCGGTGAGTGGGAGGAGGTAATTATGGAGAAATTCTGGGAGAGGTAGGAGAGGCAGAGAGTGACTCACCCTCCTTTAGAGGTGTGGGACACTTGTGTTCCAGTGCCTGCTCCAGTCAATGTTGAATCATTTATTCAACCCAGGAAAGAGAAACTGAGATACTTTTTAAAATTATTTTGCATTTCGATAAGGGATATTTTATTTGAAATTTATTTTGTATGATTTCAGAAAGAAAAATACTCCCACTTCCCACATAGTTGGAAGCTGTGTACTAGGCACACTATTGTGTGAATAGGACAGATAGCTAGTTAAAAATGAAAAGTTGGACATCTGTGCCTTCCCATTCCTTCAGAGTCTTGCTGGGGAATGATTCTCAAGTGTATACAGAAAGAATTTCAGCATGTAGATTTCTGGAAAGCTCTTATTTGGAGAGAAAGATCTGGGCTTCAGTTAAGAAAATGGTAGTTTGCATTGTATGTATAGAGTTGTGTTTGTTTATGTGCTAGCTGATTATTTAATTGTTGGCTGTTTTATAATATTTGCTTTGCACTGTAAAACAGAATGAATTTTTTTAAATGCTAGGTGAAATGGTGTTTGTGCAGCACCTAATAGTTACTGTCAGAAGAGGAAAAAATAACCACACAGCTCGCTGTTTGGAAACAAACCTCTGGATTTCAGCTTGCATGTATTGTCTGTGCTAGCTGATCTAATAGGCAACCATGAATTGCAAAAGCATCTGACTTCCACGGGCGTCCGTCCTGACCTTTCTGCCACAGAAGAATTTTTCAGCTTTAGAAAGGATTTATTCTACCTGCCAGTGTGATTTATATACCATATGTCTCCTCTTCAGCGTCGGAGTAGCGATGGCCATAGGGAAGTTTTCTGCCTCATCTGTAGTATGTGGAAATAGGTTTCTTTTAACGATATTAATTAATGATATTAACTCCTACAGAGCCAGTTTATTAACTCCCTGTATTATTTTGTTCTTGGTGGTTGTGTCAGCTATACTGTGTGTGATGTGGAAAGGAGAATACTATGAATTCCTGGTTTTGTTTGCTCTTGGCAGGCACTACTGCACTTCCCACCCTTGTGCGTGCACCTACCTTGATGATGCAGCCTTCCCTGGATATCAAACCCTTTATGTCCTTCCCTGTGGACAGCAGCTCTGCTGTTGGATTCTTCCCAAATTTTAACACAGTAAGTAAAGGTGTTTCCACATTTAGTTTCAGTGTATGCTTTCCAAGCCAGTTCTAATATCCAGTACTGAAGCCGCCTTAGAATAGTGCATCACTGACGCAATTCTAGAGAACCCTTTTTGTCTGTGCTGTAGCGGTTGCTGTTCCCTTGTACGTAAGGCTCGGAGTGGTACCCAGCCTTCGCACTGTGCATGGGGCCGATCCTCTTTTAATGTGGCCTGTTGGGGTGGTGTTTACACACTGAAAAAAAGCCCGCGATAGAGATTTGATGAATGACAGAATCATTTTGAGCATTTGCCTGGGCACGTGCATTTCCATGTGCTGTAAAAAAGGAAAAAGCAAACACTAATGGAATAGTGCCAATATGAAATATGTGAACCTGCTGCGTTTAGTTTATGGTAAAGTATTTTGGGTTTTGAAAAAAAAAAAATAAAGTTATTGCCAAAATAATGTTCAATGCTTCTGTAGTTCTCAATGTTTGTTAGAGCAGCAGTAACAAAAGTAACTCTTTTCTGTAGTTCTTGCTGCTTTAACAGCTCATAAAATGGTTCTGAATGTTATCAAAATGCTTTTTTACTATCACACTTTATCGTTTGTTTAGTTAGTTATTATCTTAAATGCATTAGTACACCAAAACCAACATTCTGCATGTTGCCACTTAGGTTTCCATGCATGAAGGTAATTCAGCATGGAACGAGTTGGCAAATAGTAAAGTAACAGCAACGGGAATTAAACTGCTCTGAGTCATTTCTGCCAAGTCAGCGAGTATGATCTGTTTGTACGTGACCGCTGCCTGAACTGCACAACAGCATCTCACTTGTCACTGTAATTGTGGGGGGGGACAGAAAGGGAAGCAGTGTCACCACCGTCAGACAGTGATCGCCTGAACCACTGCCAAGTGTTTCCTTTTGCAAACCCACCTTCTGTCTGAAGTTAAAACAGCAAGAGGATATTTTTTTTTCTTCATGACTTGCAAATACATCTTGCTGACAGGCCTGGTGTTACAGCACGCTGTGCTGTGGGATGGTTATGAGGTAACATATCAGACAGCTTCTTTCAAACGTCAGCAACTCAACGCATATTATAAACAGCAGCAAATATTATTAATTCATTGCAAAACGTGAAAATTGTGTGTTTATGAGGGAGATGTGGGGATATTCATGTGTATAGATTGGGGTGGTATGTGCATGTCTACAAAGAGACAAGATATAAAAAAAATTCAGGTATGTTTAGGGTGCAGGACCAAATCTCAATACAATTTTAAGAAAGCAGTGTATCATTCTAATCTTCTAGGCATGAAGCAGTTCATACTTATTTTCCATCCTCTTTCTAATACATTCAAGAATTTTATTTGTTATTGATTTGTCTGCTTTCCAGTTGCACTGGTTTTACTAGGTGAGCTTTTTCACAGAACTGTACATAAAGACTCAGAGAACCTTTTCTTTAGGGATGCTGTAGTTGTAGAATCAACCAACTTTATTTGCTTACTGGTGGTATTACCGAGTTTCTGAGTTGCAGTAGCCTCTAGAGACAGATTAATTTGGATATTTAAACTAGTTTTGCCTATGTACACTAGCTTACATTTATCTGGGTTGCATTCCATTTGCCTAATTCCCAGCTTCACACCTGTCATTTCTCTCCAAACTTCTATGGATTTTATTAAAAAGAGGCCTGCGGTAATCAGCAAATATTGTCGACTCAGTGCCTGCTTCCTCCCTTGGAATTCTTGGTAGTTGTATAAAATCATGCTCCTGTGCACCACAGACACCGCATATCTAAACTTGCTTTTTTGAGGAACAGTGGTTCAGTACTACTCTATTTCTAATTCACAGACTTTGCCATTTATCTTTCAGGTATTGATTTTCCCTAACAGTTTTTTACAGTGGACTTTAAAGCGCATTGGAAAACTAAATCACTCATGGTTATCGACTGACAGGCACAGTGAACGTCAGCTGTTATGCACTTCCTTTCTTTCTAACTTAGCACAGCTTTTGCAAATGTAGATTTCTATGTTTGTATGTATATAATCTTTTTTTTTGTTGTTTTTCACTGTAAAGAGGTGGGGGGAGTGTGTAGAAGTTTTAAAAAGCTTTTTTTCCAGAAGGTGAGTTTGAGTGAGTAGAAGCTAAATCAAATTGACCCATAATGTATGTATCATCCAAAGCGCCATAATTTTTCTATCTTGTGCAGGAACAGAATATCAGAAGAGCTTTTTGTCCCTTCCTCCCCCCCAAAAAGCTATCATTTGCCTTATGGAGCAATCAGGAAATCTATGCACTTCACTCACAAGAGGGCTTGTCAAGGACTGTAGTCAGTGAAACGTCTAGTGTGCGGCATGCAATGTCCTTGCCTTCAGTAGGACTGAGGGGACTCTGCAGCGTGTGCCAGGGCCGCTGTTTGTGCTTGCATGTGTTTGCTGAAGGTGGCAAAAAGAGCTGTGGCCTCAAGATCCACCTGTTTGTTTTCAATGGCAGTCAGATATAGCAGCATTTTTCTAAACCTTGCCAGGAGGTGGTTTCTAACTGAATTTCAGTGGCCTGAAAAAAGAAAAGTTTCTTCTTAGGAGCTTGATACAGTAACTACCAGGGCAGGAAAAAAGGTAAAATATGTTAACTACATACATGTTTAAAGGAACACCTCCTACCATGTTTCCAAAATAACTTCTCTTATTTATAGAAATATATTTAGAATCTGGGGTGAACCCTTTCTTACATAGTTGACAGTTTTCAATTCTGAAGACACCTGTAATGCTCCAGATGAAATCAGTGTTCTCATTTCGCTTGTGAAAGTGTTCTGATCACTTGCTTCTCTCCACATGGGGTACTTTCAAAGGAAGCACTGAACAGACCCTGATATTTTTAAAAGAAATGCCTACCCCTAGTATATCTTATATTCTTGACAGAGTTGTGTGATTTAGTTTAAAATGCCTCCCCTCTGTTTCTCCTAAAAACATTAATAGTTCTAAAAATGCTGTGGATGCATGTATAGTACTTATCAATTCATGCCCCAATTAAATTTGTCTTTGTTCTGTAGGACTTGCTTATTATATAGGAAAAATTAATTGGGGAGTGATTGCACTAGCTCCTTGGATGCATGACTTTATTCCTCAGTAAAGGTGCCTTTTTGTTGCAACAGATCAACCACAAATGGATCTTCTAAGAGCAGAATGAAGGATTCCAAGCAGAGAGGTATTGCAGAATAGGTGCTCTCTAGTTTCTTGGTCTTTTTCACAGCACCAGCAAATAGTTTTGTCAGAACAGGACAGGCATGATCAGGCTGTCACAGCCTGAACCTGAGTTGCTGCACAGAAGGATAAACCCTCTCTCAGAAGTGCTGCACCAGCAGATCCAAAGGTGTCATCACATTTGTCCTGGCATCAAGTTCTAAAAGCTCTTGCTTGGTTACTCATACCCCTCTGACTGAAACACAGCTTGAATCAAACTCTCAGCTGGTATTACTTAAAATGCTCTTGCTTAAAGCAGAATGGGAGATGGCATAATAGGAACTTCCCAAACTGGTACCTCCAATTTGGAATGGATGTCTACAAAAAGATATTGTTTAAGCAGAACTCTTTTTTAGCACGCTAAAATGACTTTAATAATTCCTTAACATGTAACATCTAGCATATTGATTACATTTAAAGATCTATAAGTCTTCAAAGTCAAGTGCATAAAGTCAGTGGAAATCAAAGGTAAGATTACTGTGGTCCCCATTGTGCATTTATTATAATGTAATCTTGAGTTTTACACTCTCTGGCTTCCACCACACAGCTTCACCTTCTGTACCATTCTTTCTCTGCACCTCCCTGATACTTTGTCTTGCGTCATCCACCTTGTGGAGTGAATGAAAAGACACTTTGTGGTCACATCGTGGAAGGTTATCATGATACATGTGCTAAAGTGGCTGAAAGCTGGGATTGATCTTGCAAGGCAAACTTAATGATCACTGTCTGCATTTATCTTGCAAGGCAAACTTAATGATCTGTCTGCGTCTCCCTATAAAGGTTGTATACTCCCCAGAAAAAAAATTTCAAATCTCCAGTGCATTCTACCTTGTCCTGAAATGGGAACAGCACTATATGATTCAAATTTAGTTGAAGTGGTACAGCCAGGGACCCGTCAGTCTGCACAAAAGCGGTATCAGCAACTTCTCAGATTTTATCATCATAGAAAATAATCAGCAATTCATATGCTTCCTTCTCAGTTTGTTATGGCCTCGGGGGTAATCAAAGATTATAGCATCTCTTGTAGCTTTCACATTAGTGAAAGATTTTCCATCTAACTAGCCCATGATTGGTTTCTAAATGCTGGTTCATACCTTCATTTTTTAGAGGACACACGGGTTAATGTGGCCCAGTTACTGCTTCAGTGTCTATTTCTCTTCAAGTAGGTTTATGCTGATTCTTTATATTACAGTTCCCCCAGTCCCCTTGCAAAGTGGACCAGAAGTGTTTTACATCTGCCAGTGAAGGTGAGCCAGCTGGAATGGGCTACAGG